AAAAAAAAAAAAAAAAAAAAAGCACCCTCGAGAGAACGAGAGAGTTTCGCAGGTACGAATAACGATCGTTGTTGCATCCCTCCTCTCTTCCACCCCGACCCGCTCTTCTAGCATCGGGACACGCAGGAAACGCTGACAGTCCTCGACAGGTTGGACCTCGATACCGAGAAGCCCACCGACGAGGAACTGGCAAGGAAGTTCGGTTTCGAGGAGGCGTACTACGAGGGCACCCTCACGTGGTGGCAAAAGCTCAAGCCCCAGATGTGGTCGCTCTTCGATGAACCGTATTCCTCCCTTGGAGCCAAGGTTTGTATATATATATATATATATACATATATATATATATATTTCACGATATATCACGATACTTTTCTATATTTTCCGTGTGTATATTTGTTGATTTAGACGAACGACGGGAGGTTGAAACGGTTTATATTGCTTCGATTTAAATTGCTTCGAAAATTTAATATCGGATTAAATTGTTGTCTATCTATCTTTCTCGGCAAAGTTTATATGGAATTTTAATCCTTGGATATCGGCCGTATATATAATATATTATAGATATATTATAGATATATTTTGCTCGTCCCTTCACGTTAACGATATCCGATTCCTTTTCGAGAGAACGAAAGTTTCGATCTCTCGGGAAGGAGAGGTTGTTACGTGATGTGATATTCAAATTTGAACAAAGAACGGATTTTGATATATCTCTGCGAGTGATTTTTATTAGGCTTTTATTATTATAGGGCGTTTCGAATTTAATGGCAACTATTTTGAACCTCTCGTTCGTATTTATTCGATTAATATTTTATTTTAATTGCATCGATGACATTGATATTTCAACGTCAACTCTTGATAAAATGTTATATGCACGCAACAAGAGCGGAAAAAATTTGTCCTCCAACAAGATTTTTAATCACTTTTGAATTAAATTACATGTTATTATTCGATTTTTATATTCATCAGTTTTACTTTACGTTAGTCGAGAATTGGCGTTCAATATTAATTATTACGTGTGATCATTAATATTAAAAATTATATTAGTATTATTGTTAATGTATAATTATTAGTACGTAGTTTTTGATGTTATCGGAGGAAGTATGAGAAAGGTGTATCTTTGTATTATGACGATTATTTTCTCGTGATACAATATAAGGATTTAAAATATATAATGTGAATTAATTTTGACGCTACAAAGAATAATAAATTTTAAATTCTGTCAATTTTCACGAAGTAAGTTTTTCTGTGAAAAAAAAACATTTTGATCATAATAAAATTAATAGAAATAAATATCATCTTGTTTTTCCACGTTGAATTCATAACTTTTACAAAAATTACGTAACAGTATTTCGTAAAAAAATCTCTAAAACAAAATCTCTTAAACAAAAGATGGTTACAATCGTTTATTTGCTGAACAGAATGTTGATAATATATTAGAAAAATATTTATGTTGAGCTCTTTGCAAACGCGATCTCTTTTGAAATATATACATATATATGTATATATATATTTTTAGGTTTCAACGATCGTGAAATCTACTGCAGTAATTAGCGTAGTTATTCGAGCAAAGTAACAATACGCGTGCACGTGTTTTTAAAATTTCTTTCGCGAAGACAGCTTTTCATTTGTTTTCTTTTTACCGCTGATAACGACAAAGAAGTGAATCGAACTGAAAAGTTTCAATTGTAGTGCGCCGGCTGTCGAAACGACGTAAACTAACGTTGTAAATAGGTTCACGTTCAATGAAAATGTTGTTCATGATAATAAACTTCTACAGAATTTCCGATACGTTGTTCCGAAACGCGAAAGAGAAGAGGAAATATCTACATATTCTCCTCGAAAGAATTATTTCGTCCATTTTTTGTTTCGTTTACCAAAAGAAAATATACATTATTATTATTTCGTTGTAAAATAAAATTTTTTTCCTCGATTCGATATATCTATATATTCTCGATCGAAAATATGTATGTTTAAATACATATTATTATTATTCGTTGTAAAATAAAATTTTCTTCCTCGATTCGATATTTATATATATATATATATATATTCTCAATCGAGAATATGTATGTTTAAATACACCATATTATTATTATTCGTTGTAAAATAAAATTTTCTTCTTCGATTCGATAATTTATATATATATTTTCGATCGAACGAGAATATGTTTAAATATATACAAAATTGTTATATACAATCGTGCATTAAGTATGAGGATTAAAATATTAGAATATATATACAAGTCATCCATTTGGGAAGATATGTAGGCACGTTGGCAAAAGGGCAACATCATATTACATTTATAAACGTACCTCGATAACTGATCATCATCATCATCATCTGGATTTTAATAATAATTACATCATTAATAAATTACACTAATGACTCGCCAAGTAGTAATATCTATTATTCAATAATTCATTCAGCTTTCGAATATTATCATCATTCGACGATTCGATCGTTCATCCGTATTTCGTAAATGTATGGCGAATCATCCATCGTTCGTACGTAGTTCGAGAAAGATATATATATTTGGAAATTTATGATTAAGTAACGAGATAGAATCGACTTAGATTGAAAATATAATAAGTGGTTGGAAATAAGAAAAATTAATCTGTCGCTTCATCGGTTATCGAAAATATTCATGATTGAAATGTGGAATTAAATGATACCAAGAAACAAATTAACGGTATCTATTCGAGAATAGGAATTTACTTTTCACGTTATTTTCTATTCCAGCTTTATTTTCATTTCATCCGGTCTTACCTGTATCCCCTATGCGATTCCTTTCAACTATTATCGTCTCGAGTTCCATTATCCTATCACGTGAAGTTGACGTGAAATTATTACAATACCTTTCTCAATTCGTTTCCAGGAACACGATGATTACTTTAGCTCGGGATACGTGACATTACAAGTTTCACAAAGAAGCTCAACAAAATTATACGACGAAATGAATGAAATGCGATACAATTTTTTAAAAGTATAAAGAATCTTTATTTTTTCCTTCCTTTTTTAAAAAAAATCGAACGATTTCTATATCGTTTACGAGCCAATTTCGTTTCTCAAACGAAGATCGATCGATGGGGATAAAGTACAACGATCGTTATTATAGCAGTAACTTTTAACGTTGCTCAAAAGAGGGAAGCTCTGTGAAATCGCGATATTTTTTTCTTTCTTTTTTTTTTTTTTTTTTTTTTTTCATGAAAGTTGGCTAAACTGAACTCGCCTCGAGTGACAATCCCCGTGACAATTCCGGTTTCACGGTTCGACGCGATCCTTCCCGAGATTTTTTATTTTTTTTACAGCCTATTCGGATTCTCTTGTTAAGTTTCTTTTTTCTTTTTTTTTCAAAATTGTCAGTCGCGCGTTAAATAATATTTTTCACGATCCAATGAGCGCAAGGCTCGAGGAAACGCGACAATACTCGGTCAATAACGAATCGAGGGAATTAAGAGAGATAAGAGGGATAAGGGAGGCGATTTATATACATATATATATACACGTCAGCTTTGCTTTCTTTAATCGCGAATACGATGAACGGTGAACCGACGGAGGAGGGCGAATGGGCATAATCAATTAATTAAAATTGGCGTAAATGTTGGTAAACAGGTGATCAGCATAGTCTCGGTCCTGTTCATCTGCATCTCTATCCTGTCGTTCTGCCTGAAGACGCATCCGGACATGCGCGTGCCGGTGATCGTGAACCGTTCGGTGAACACGGGGAACGGGAGCTCCTGGGCGGTGGACAAAACGCACACGAACGCTCACGACTTCTTTTTCTACATCGAGTGCGTGTGCAACGCCTGGTTCACCCTCGAGTTCCTAATACGGATCACCGCGAGCCCGAACCGGTGCGTGTTCATCAAGAGCTCGGTGAACCTGATCGACATGGTGGCGACGTTGAGCTTCTACCTCGACCTGGCCCTCCAACGCTTCGCATCCCACCTCGAGAACGCAGACATCCTCGAGTTCTTGAGCATAATACGAATAATGAGACTGTTCAAGCTGACACGCCACTCGTCCGGCCTCAAGATCCTGATCCAGACGTTCCGCGCGTCCGCCAAAGAATTGACCCTGCTAGTCTTCTTCCTGGTCCTCGGTATCGTGATATTCGCAAGCCTGGTTTATTACGCGGAGCGTACCCAGTACAATCCGAAGAACGACTTCAAGAGCATACCGTTGGGCCTGTGGTGGGCCTTGGTCACGATGACCACGGTCGGTTACGGGGACATGGTGCCCAAGACCTACGTGGGCATGTTCGTGGGCGCCCTCTGCGCCCTGGCCGGTGTGCTAACCATCGCCCTGCCGGTGCCCGTGATCGTCAGCAACTTTGCGATGTATTACAGTCACACGCAGGCGCGAGCCAAGCTGCCCAAGAAGAGGCGCCGCGTACTTCCGGTCGAGCAGCCGAGGGTCCGGACCGCGCCGCTGGGTGGGGGCGGGGTCGCGGGCGGCCAGGGGCCTCCTGGCTACACCCAACAGCACATGCACCCGGGTGGGCCCGCGTCGGGGCCCACCGGCCTCGCCCCCGGACACGGCCAGACGCCCGGGATCGGGTGCATAGGCGGCCAGGGGCCTCAGAACAGACGGATGAACGCCATCAAGACCAATCATCCCAAGGACGTTTCGTTCGCCACGAAAACAGGTAAGTTCTCCACGCTTGCCGCGTCCCAACTCGCTTCTCCTTAGGGATTCCCCTAATCATTTTTGCGTTTCTTTTATTTTTTTTTTTTTCGAATTATACGATATTGAAAAATTGGAAATAGAATTGTCTTCTTCTTTTACGTTACGAGAGGTTTTTTTCGCGAAAGTTCAATGAATGGTAGAAATATGTAATTCGTAAGAATATCCATTTTTACTAATCCGAGCAAAAGCGAGAATAATTTAACGATGAATTTAATTTCGAATTTAATCGTATTAAAAAATCTTTTATGATGACTTTTTTTTTTCGAGTACAATATTGAAAAATTGAGAAGAAATAGAATTATCTTCTTCTTTTTACGTTACGATGAATTTAATTTCGAATTTAATCGTATTAAAAAACCTTTTGTGATGACTTTTTTTTTCGAGTACAATATTGAAAAATCGAAAAGAAATAGAATTATCTTCTTCTTTTACGTTACGAGAGGTTTTTTTCGCGAAAGTTCGACGAATGGTAGTAATTCGTAAGAATATCCATTTTTACTAATCCGAGCAAAAGCGAGAATAATTTAACGATGAATTTAATTTTGAATTTAATATTAAAAAACTTTTTGTGATGATTTTTTTTTTTTGAGTACAATATTGAAAAATCGAAAAGAAATAGAATTATCTTCTTCTTTTACGTTACGATGAATTTAATTTCGAATTTAATCGTATTAAAAAAACCTTTTGTGATGACTTTTTTTTTCGAGTACAATATTGAAAAATTGAAAAGAAATAGAATTATCTTCTTTTTACGTTACGATGAATTTAATTTCGAATTTAATCGTATTAAAAAAACCTTTTGTGATGAATATTTGTGATGAAATTGTGAGAAATTATATGATACTTACTTTGTACTACAAAATTAACTTAAAAAAAAAGAAAAATCATTAAAAAATTATTATTAAAATTGATCATTACGTTATTAAATTTATTGATTTTTTTTTTAATTTATCTTTGATTATTTTATTAGATACGTTTATTATTAATTGAGAAAAAATATTGCAACAAGTGCTTTTATATAAAAAGTGGGGGATAAGATACGTTTTATCTCCATAAAAGCAGGAACCCCGATATAAAGAACTGGCACAATGCTATTGAAAATAACCGACCATTGATGGATTTCAAAGCCCATTATCGTAACACATTTGCAATCATTTCCCACTCGTTTCCCCCTCTTATCTACATTTTCACGTTTACACGAAGAAAATGGCTATGACCGAATCCAAAATCGAAACGACGAAAAGAAAAGTGATGATAAATCGTGTTTACTATTAAATTTATAACTACTTACAAAATTATGTATATCTAGAATCGAGTCATCCTGCGAAACACACCTGTTCAAAAGCCACTTAATAAATCCTTCGAGCACCTCGAACGAGTTACCCCCAAAGCCTATCCTTCGTGCCCACTCTCTCTACATAATAAATAAACAAGTCGCTCTATATATATATACATATCTATATGCCCAACAATTATCGTGCTGGTGAGCAAAAAAAACGAGAAAAAAGAAAAGAAAAGAAAAGAAGAGAGTCTTAGCCGAGACGCAAGCCAATTTAGCAGTAATTGTCGGCCGGGCGGAAAAGTCTATAGTGTCTTTGTTTTCCTGTTCTTCTTGTACGGTGGGTTCCAGAGGAGGACCGGAGGAACTCTAACCTGCGGACCAACGGGACCAAGATAGCCGGAGGTTTGGGTTAAAGCTGGAACCAACACTACTCTCCACTGCCAAGGCGCGCTCGACTGACAAGGGGCGTCGGGACGTCGACCTATCGAGTCGAATGCGGGGAATACGGAGTGACGGAGAGGAGGGAAGGAAGGAAGGAAGGAAGCCGGGTGCGGAGGGGAAAGATTGGAGGAGGAACGAGCTCGAGACGGGGGTATCATCAAGATTGCATGATCTATAAGGGAATATTAGATCGGTGCGGGCCTGAATGTTGGATTTTTTCACCCCCTCCCCCACATCTCTCCGCACACGCGCGTCAATTATTTACGCCCTCTCTTATTTTTCGTCTTTCGTTTTTGCACGCGTGTCTCGAGAGAGTCGGTGTCGGGCCGGTTTGAAAATAAATTTTGGCTGCGAGATGGTCGGAAAAGGTGGTGGAATTATTGGAACCTTCGGGGAGGACGAAAGGTTGGCGGGTAGAGGTGGTGATATTTCATGCCTAAATCTAAATTCTGAATTTAGGGTAGCAGTTGGTTTGAAATAATTTATTTGCTTCCATTTGCTTTCGTGCGAGGTAAATAGATACGATGTGTTGTAAGTATAATTTAATAAATAAATTCAAAACAAGATGTACAAGATAAATTCGGATACAGAGAATAATTTATAAAATGTTTTTTTTTTTTTTTTTAATTTGACAAAGGATGTAGATATTAAGAAAGAAAAGAGAATCGAGAAGAACGAATTGGTTAACTTTTCCAATTTCTGTTTTATTGGATTAAATTTAGATAAATTTCTGATGGCCCGATAATAAATAAAGCAACGAAATGCATTCGATTTCTTTTCATTCAAAAATTATATATCAAAAATTATATACATAAGTTTGTACGAAACTCTAGATATTTTTTGCGTACGAGCAACGTATAAATCGATATTATAATGCTCGCCTAGACCTGTCAAGAACAAACTCTGTTAAAAGTAATAACGAAAACCGCTTTAAAGTCTAAAAGCCGCAGACGCGAAATATCAAAATGTCGAGTTCAAGTAATACTTGAAAATCAGAAATTATTTGGGATTTTTAATTAAATTACGTCCGCTTTGACTCGCCAATCTTTCTGGAAGCAACAAAAAAAAAAAAAGAAGAAAGAAAATTAGTGAACAAGAAACAAAAACGAATAAAATTCCACGAAAAAGAATAAACCTCAAACAAAAGAATCGAAAGAAGGAACGTGTGATGTTAAGAAAGAGGCTGGCGCGCATGCGTACGCGCATGCGCACGCGCACGCGCAGAATCCGACATTTTCTCCGCGCCGATCTAACCTTATTCAGGGATTTCTCGCGACGCATCACTCAGCTAATGTATATTCTCTTTCACTTTCTCCGATCACTTGTTTCAAACGATCGGTCTCTCCTCTCCAATTTCCTGTCTTTATCTTCGCCATTGCCTCTCCATCTCCCTTCTAAACACGAATCATTCGCTCGTAATCATTCACCGAACACAGTAAACGTCGTGTCAGCGGTTAACACGAATAGCAGCGCGTTGTTTTGCAAAATGTGTTTTCCGATGAAATGAAATTCAAAGGAGGGAAAGATATGCATCGTCGAACCTCGATAACTCGAATTTTCTGAAAAGAAAAAATTTCTTTTTGCTTTCAATCATACGTAATTAATAAAAAAGTTGTTATAAAGGTAGAAATGATAATAGAGAATCGACTCGAACTCTGAATTCGAGTTGCAAAGGTAAACGAACAATATGAATTAACTACATCTCGATTTGTAAGAGTAAAAGGGCAAAATAGAGTGAAGAAAATTGCGTTACAAAGATTTTCTAGTTGCAGAGGTTCGACTGTAAAAAAAGGAAAGTAAAGAAAGGGATAAACGAGCGTGAAAAGGAAGCAAAGGAGTGCAAATAAGGAAGCAAAGATAAATAAAGGTGTAGACGAAACGGGAGTCGGGGATTTGTTTGAACTAGTTAGAAGCGACGAGGAATATTCATTGGCTATCAACTTAGAAATGGCTGCTATGGGTGAAAAGGCCTCGTGTTCGATCCAAGTCGAATATCTTACGAACTGGAGAGCACTGGCTGCCAAAAATTCCTGAAAGTATCTGGTAAATGCTGCAGGAGTCGCGTAATGAGACTGGCGGAGTCTCGAGGAGCTTAAATATTTGCATTCACGGAACGCTGGTAGGAATTTTTGTCAGGTATCGACGTCGTATCCAGAAGATTCCTCCTCCCTTTTCAAAGATTCAATTTCTCGCAGGGGAACCTCGGTTGAATAAAAGCCACTCCTTAATTTCTCGAAATTGCCGCTTTAAATATTGATGAGAGGGAAACTTGTTGTGTTTCGTATTTTATTATTTCGAACTTTTATTCGGGAAATTCCAACAGTGAATTGTTACAAAAACCAGAGATAAATATATCGAAAATAAATAAAAAGAAAATTTTCCATACCTTCGATTGATTTTAAAAAATTACACGGGCTATTAAAATATTTATCATTACAACTTCTGTAATAACAAAATTGTAATTAAATACAATTTTCGAAACTCAAGCCATGAAAAAGTTAAAGAGACTAATAGACGTCCAGCGATACTCATTTAACGTTGAGTCTGCAATGCCACCGGAAATAAAGTAGCAAGCATAAAACACGAGGAACAAGTTTGAAACAAATGCAAGAGCTTTCCAACGACAAATCGTATTATATCGTATCGATTTTTATTACAGCTTATACGTGGAATTTTTTAAACGTGGAAGAAAATTTATTTACAATTTTTAGTTTAGTTTTTTTCATTGATTTATATTATGACAAAAAAAGTTTTTTAACAGATAGAAATCGATGGAAAGATCGAAACAGAGATTTCGATATTAAAAATATATCGAAAAAGAAAGCTTTCGTTGGTACGATTTAGTTTCTGGAGTAATTAAACTTAAAAAAAAAAAAAAATTTATCACTGCGAAAATCTCGAAAGTTATTTTTAAAATGTGATAAAATTGGTGGACGAGGGATCTTCGAGGTACGCGTACGCATGCGCACGTATATATACTTGATAATTTAACACACGCACATATATGGTCCACGTACGTGTAAATATTCGAATCCAATCGCGATCCAGAAAACACCAGGCTGCTCCGTACCTCTTTGTTTCATCTATTTTCGGCTGTTTTCTGCGAAAACGAGTTTTCTTCGTTTCTTCTTCGTTCTTGCAAAATGTGTATAAATGTATATTTTTTATTCATACGAGAAAAAAAAATACATATACATATATATATATGTATAATTCAAATTTTTACGAAATATGGAATCAATGGGATCAATTCGCGTTTAGATGACGACAATTGACATCATTTACATAACACGAATAAATTGTAAATTGTACATTTTCTTACGATAATAGTTTCTTCCCTCGAAATAAATTTAGATAATGAGTTGACTGTCGCTGATCGAAACTGTATTAAAAAGATATTGTTGAATTTTTTACGCTTAATTACGTTTGATTATTGGGGGAGAGGGGGGAAGCATCGATATAGATTTGAAAATGATACTATTTCTAGAAGTTTTAGTAATATTGTATTTTTTACGATAAAATATTAAATTCTTAATCTAAATATAATGGCCTCGTTATTATGCTCTGACAGTCAGCTTATTTTCTGAACAATTGAATTTAAAATTATCTCGAATCGTTGTTCTTCGATTAATTCGTTTCGATTCGATTTTACTGTTAAAAACTTAATTTATTTAAACCTAGTCATGTATGTATATATATATATACTTATTTCCTATTTATTTCTGTATATATATATATATGTAGAAAATATTATCTACATATACATTTAATTATTTTTCGTTTATTTTCATTAGTTTTTTTAATGAAATAAGTAGAAAGCAGCCTTCACCTTCTTAATTCTTAAGAAACTCTAAAAGTTATGAATTGTCATATTGATATAGTATCGTTATCTTTGAGGTCACGATACTTTCTGAAAACCAGTGATATCGTTTCCAGATTGTACGATTGTGGCGCATTTTTTTAAATTTATGACGCATAAAGGAAAAATAAAAATAAATAAAGAAGAGAAGCAGAATATTTTATAAAACGAGTTTCAAAATGGAAGTATCGTCCAACGCATCTCCGAAACAATTAGGAAATTGAAAAGATGAGACGCTACAAGATTGTAAGGAATAAAATAAATTATTAATCTTTATACCGTTTTCGTAACGAATTTTAATTGTAAAAATGTTACTTGAAGATTTTAGAATATTTACATTAATTCAAATGGATATTTAAATGTTGACAAATAAAACTGAACTGAACAATGTAACACGCTCAAAAACACTCGCTTAATTATATATATATATATATATATATATGATGAAAAGAAGAATTTCTTTTTTTTTCTTGAATACGAGATATTATTAATCGATCTTTTAAAATCGATTTACAACACAAAGATTTCGCATATAATCGAAAATAATGCAGGGAAAATACAATCAATTCAGTGCCGTCCATCAAGTTAATTTGCATGATTATATTTTTCTAATCGTTCCTTGATTGTTTCTGATTAAATTGATTCTTTCAAAACATGGATGCCGATGGTTGCTTTACAGAAACTGATAATTAATCCAGATTATCAAATAAATTGTCTCGTCTTCCTTTTATCTCTCGAGAATTTTTAATTATGCAATGTTATTTCAAACTCAACATATCTTTGAATCTTTCGAGTAAAATTAGAAACTTATCAAAAGTTTGTCAGAATCAGTTTAATTTATGTATTTTAGAGAAAGTGTTAAGTAGGATAGAAAGAATATTCCAGAAAATTGTTAAGCAATTTAAACAGAAATTCTGAATTTCCATTACGAAAATTGTAACTCTTGATGGACGATTAATGAAAAATACATTTTCGTAATTTTAAGATTAAATAAAAGATATGTATTGGGGATATTGCTCAAATGGTAATGATACAATGTTAATTTTAAATTGTTAATTTTACTGTGATATTAACAAATATAGATTATTAAAAGACTATTAATTAATTATTGAT